CTGTGCTGAGGGTTTGGTCCTGTCATCTGAGTCCATTCCTGATTCAGTGACAGGTTGCTTTGTAGCCCGATGATGTCTGTACTGTTTTTATCTTCTTTTTTCTTTCTATTTTTTTTTCCGCTCAGAGTCAGAAAATGCCTTTCATCATCACTTTGTGGGGAAAAGTTTGATCCTTTCCTTCCAGCCCTTGCCCTCCTAAAGAAAAATACTTCTTGTTCCCTTGTATTTCAGGGACTGAAGTGTAGACTGCCTGCGCTTCAAGGTGTAGTATTTGCACGGCAGGGAGGAAGACTACATCACCTCTCCCTACTCACTATCTGAGTAAAATAGGTGAAAGGAGTAATAGCCATATCTGCCTTTAGCACATCCAGATTCCCAAATATCCTTGAACAAAATTAGCAGCAGAGCAGGTTCTTCAGTGATACTATGCTGTTTCTTCCTGTTTCCTTTGGGAGCCCTTAGAGACAACTATCTCGCTGTGCAAGGTGCCACACAAGCCAAACAAAAAATGATCCAAATCCAAACTGATCTGTGAGTGTAAGAGCAGAGACAGTGGATGACACGGAAATGTGGGAAACCACAAAGAAACCCTGAGATGCTTTTGGTCAGCAGGATGCACAGCAGTACCAGCGCAGTGACAGTCTGGCCTCTGCCGAGATTCTGTTAGCATTGCAGAACACAAGAGTTTGAAAGAAAGGCTTCAAAAGGAACTCATGGAATGTAAAGCTTAGACTTAATGCTGTCAGCCACAGGATCCGCAGGATCAAGGACTCCAGCTGCAGCTGGAAGGCAGGCTGGATACGCAAAGCGTAATCTAAGCAAGAACAGCTTTAAGAGGGAATGATAATGAAGGAGCTGAAAAAAATGCTTGGGATGGCAAATCAGCATCTAAACCACCAGGTCAGAGCATCACACGGTTCTTTAGGTTGGAAGGACCTCTGGAGGACATCTGTTTCAACTCCCGGCGACTTCGGGGTGCGAGGGAAGGAGGGGGAGCAGAGGCAGGGGGATATCCTCCCAAGCTCAAAGCAGGCACTGCTTAAGCTGCTCGGGGCGTCTGTAATACAAAATAGATGTTTTGTTGGAGGGATACATCAAGCAGTGGGAGGCGTACAGCCAGTGCATGGTGAAAGGCATACAAGCAGTAGTAAAAAGGATTTGAAGATTATGTCTGGCTTGTTCTAGGACTTCTGGAACATCTTTTCAAGCTGACTTACAGAACCCAGAGTGTCAGTGGGTTTTTAGAAAGTATAAAATACACTTCAGATCATGATTAATATTCACAATGTTTCTATGTAATCCAAATAAGGAACCATTTCCAGAAGTGATTGTTAGTCTCTTCTGGAAGTCAAAGGACTCTAAATGCAAATGCATTTATGCATTTCTGCAGATACCATGTTTGATCCATATGGAATAAGCATTCGGTGCTCCTTTGCCATCTCTTTGACCTTTTCCTTGTTTAGTCATACTTGATAAGAAGACGTTTGTTTAATGTTCACATCTGTGAATGACATGAAGTGCAGGGAAGCAGCAAATGACATATTTTACCCCTGACATTCTTAGTAAGAATGCTAATTCAGGAATTACCACAGTAGGATGTAGAGGGTCAGTTACACAGGTTGAAAAAGCTTTGCTGAGCTTATATTCCCATTTAGCTCTCCTTTACTGAATATGATTGCTTTGCGTGGTTTGTTCCTGTTCCATGCTTTCAAGTGGTCCTATTCTGTAGCGATTGGTATTGTTGAACTCCATCATAGCGTAGGGCTTTCAGATTTGTTTGCTTGGATTTTTTGTTATACATAATCATTAAACAGAAGCTATAAAGTAGGCTGGGGTGACTCATTTCCCTGAGAGACAGTACATGCATGTTCTCTTCTTATCACCATGTGACAGTATAAAACAATCAGGCTAACAAAGGCAAAAAGGCAGAAGCAGGAGACCTACCTAACACTGGTTCTCTCTGTCAGACAGGAAAAATATCCGGAACCCAAAGCAATTAAATTTGGCTAGAATCCTCAAAAATGAAACAAAACCAATTCCAGCTGAAACAGATTGAAAACCCAAAGAACAAAACACAACATCCCACACTGGGCACACCATTCCCTGTGTATAACAGTTAAGGAAAGGTTTCAGGACCCCAAAGTCAGGAGCTTTTCTGCTGGGTGCAGCATGATCAGCAGCCCCCTTTATTGTTAAACTGCTTCATAGGATGCATTAAGAGATCAGCTTTTCAGTTGTTCATAATTTTGTCAAAATATTTGAGCTAAATTTTCCTCGCCTGGAAGTGGAATATTTATAAAATGTTCCAGGTAAAAATAGTTCCGCTATTTTCAGGGATGAAACTGTAAGAAAAGATTATGTTTTCTGATGTTCTTTTTGAGAAGTTCGGTACTGTGTTTTGAGGAGGATGCTGGAACTCTGGCAGAGGAGCAGCCTCTTCCAAAGGAGTGGTGTCTGCCACCTGACATTTCATTCATACTTGGCAAGCTTACCAAGAGAAGATGGAGCCACAGTATGCTCACAGTGGCCCTGAGAAAGCACAAGAGGCAACAATCATGACTTGCAAGGGAGATTCCTGCTGAGCATTAGGGAAAGCCTTTCCCCAGGGCATGTTTTAGCCCTGCTATGAGTGCCCCAGAGGCTGTGGAACCTCCCTCGTTGGAGGTGCTCAGAGGAGACCTGAGCAAGGCTCTGAGCAACCTGAATTAGCTCGGAGTGCTGAATGCATCCTCCCTGCTCCTGGGGCTTTGGCAGTGTGAGCTGGGGCCAGATCAGAGAGTGCCGCTGAGGGCTGCCCCTTCCCTTTGGTGACTCTGAGGAGAGATTCCAGAAAGCTCTGCTGGAGCTCCAACCAGGGCTGACCCCCTGCCCCAGGAACTGCTTTTAAGCTGGTGCTCTTGCCCTTGCATCCTGCCCACGCACTCTGTCGATCCAGACTGATGGATCAACTTCCTGACTTGACCTGAGACCTGCTTTGTCAGGATGGACTTGTCTAGCCATCACTGGACTGTGGGTCACCCTGCTTACTGCCTCCAGAGCTGATCCTGGTGCTGACTTGACTTCTTAGTTTGACTTTGGACCTGCCTCGTCACCACAGGCTTGTCTGGAGATCTGGATTCTCCGATGAACCCAGCTACCGTCACTGTACTTGCCTTGCTCATGTTGCTTGCATGCTTACCCTTGCTGCGAAAGTCTCTCCCTCTGCCTGCCTTCTTACCATGCCTGGCTCTTAGCTGCTGCTCTTCTGGGGAGCATCCAGCCCTCACTGCCCCCAGCAACCTGCTGTGAGCAGGGAGTGCAGGTAGAGACCTCCAGAGGTGCCTTCCAACCCAAATCTTCATATGAATCTGTGACAGTGCTGTAGCCAAGATAAAAGGAAAGAAAACATAGCAGTGAAGGCATTGTATTGATGCTTAGGTACACGATGGGTTAGATCTGGGGAAGGGAAAAAGGACCAGAGGAAGAGGGACAAAGAAAGGGGTCTAGGAAAGGGGAAGGCAGGAAAGAGGAAGGCAGAGGAAGAGGTGGAAATGGGCATCAGTGCAGCTACTGTAATATCACTTTGCTACCCCATAAATCACAGAACAAAAGGGTAACATCAGACCCTAGCAGAAGACACGCACACAGCTCTCTTTCCTCTCTAGCTGTACTATGTCACAAATGATTCACATTCACATGGTAGTCTGGAGTTTTCAAAATAGAAATACCTCCTGCCCTGCAAGCCCTCCTCCACCTCCCTCACTGCATCTCTCAGACACCATTAAATGTCCTTCATCTGCAGATATATTTCAAGGCTCGTTGGCTGGCTGCAAGGCTCAGAAAGGGGATGGAGCTTGCATACCCAGGGCATATGTCTCCCAGGGCAGCCTGTGGCACAGCAATCTCCCTGCAGAGAGGTTTATCATCTTCTATAGGTCTTTTTGAAGACCTGCTTCTACAATTGCCTGTAGAAGAGTCTTCAAGGGAGACTGGAAAGATTGATTTAAAACACTGTGTCCCTTAAACTGTATTTTGTAACACAAAACTGTGATGCATTGCAATGCATAGCACAGCAGTTATGAGGTAGGGAACTGAAATAAGAATCATTGCTAATTTAGAAGTCTCAGAACCAGGACTTCACCCTGAACTGCGTTTCATGTCATTTTTCCTGCCCTTTCCTTTAACAGGGGTAGCCTGAGTCCTGCTGGAAGCCACAGAGAAGCTGTTTTACAATGCAAGCGTAAAGGCGACTGCCCTGTTCACTAGCAGGAGTGAATAACGGGTTTTGGCACTGCCTGTGTACAGCTGAATCTCTCTTCTGGGAAGATTTATGGGGCTTTCACATGGAGCGAGGGCTGAAGAAGCACGTACAAACAGTGCGAGCAAATACATTGCACCACAGCCTCATTCTGTGACATCATTTCAATTAACCCTGTGGCTGAGCAACAAGACAGTGCAAAGCACTAATGTTAGTGTGAGCTTCACAGATGACAATAGTATTGGTATCCTCTCTTTTTTCCTGAGGTCATTATGAATGTTGGGTGTATTTTTAAGTGTGCTAGTGTTTCCCAAGCCGTTCTGCTTTAGGAAAATGTATAGCCATTGTGATGCATGTGTGTGTGTGGCTGCACAAGCACATTTGGCATACCTCTTAAAGGTTGCTTTGCTAAGGTTTGTGACTCCCTGTACAATTAGGAACCTGTTTTCTGCAAGAGTACTAAACACTCAACTCACCCCAACAAGGGTTGCTAAATGTTTCATCTCTTCTGGAAAATGAAGACACTTACTTAGGTGCCCCAAGCTGGACTTAAGACTCAAAATGAAGCATACTAGGTTTGTTTCAAGCCCTTGTTCCATTGTTTCCTGTACCAAAAGAGTGAGGTGAGACCATGTCACCAAGACAGCTCTGTTTATTCATCCTTCAGTTTTGTATCATCACGTCACCCACATACAGTCTGCCGTGCTCCCTCAAACAGTCTGCTAAACAACCTGAGCTGTAATCAGTGAAAGGGTGACTGCAATGGTAGGACCTTTCTGTGCTTATATTTCTGAGTCCTCAATAGGGCCATTCAAAAATACTGCAGTAGGAAGTGATGGCAAAGATTCATTGGGATGGATAAAGTTTTCAATTGGGAACTGCTTTACTTTTGGGACAGCATGATCTCGGTTTGACTTATGCTCCACAACCTGATTCTTAAGCACCACTGTTTCTGAGTCCCAGGCTTGTCCCCGCCGCAGTTTCTTAAAGGTGTTACGGAAACCCTCAGTACTGAAGTAGTAGATCAAGGGGTCCAGTGTGCAATTCATGCTGGCCAACAGCATTGTTGTAATTAACACTTGGCGGACAGAGGCCTGTGTTTCTTTCTCAACCTTAATCAGCCTGGCCTTCATCATCCCATAGACTGCCAGGGTAGTGTTGTAAGGCACAAAGCAGATGATGAAGATAACCAGATTGACCAACAGGAGACGGACTGTCTTCTGCTGTCGCAGGGTCTTTGTCTGGGTGTTCCGGTAGAGCTCTTGAAAGATCCGAATCGAGCAGTATGTCACAGAGCTGAGAGGCAAGAGAAACCCCAAGATTTCAGCCAGGACAACTAGGGGGAAGAGGTTATTCTGCCACATGTTGTCACTAAAGCTTTCAAAGCACAGATAAATGGTCTTGTTCTGTACCTCACAGTGGTTTTGCTTGTGGACTATAGCTGTGGGGATGGAGCCTATGAAGATCACAATCCAGACAATCAGGCAAAGGAGCTTGGCTACCTTGGGGCGCCGCAGGTGCCGCCAACGAAGTGGGTGAACTATGGCAGCATAGCGATCCAGATTGATGCACATGAGAAACAGGCAGCTGCCATACATGTTGATCTGGAAGACAGAGCCAGAGACCTGGCACAGGGTGTTACCAAAGGGCCAGTGGTGGTTAAAATAGTAGTAGAGTCGCAGTGGCAGAGGGAGTGTGAAGGTGAGGTCGCTCACGGCCAGGTTGAACATATAGATCATGACTACGGACTTCAGGCGCAGGTAGCGGATGAATATCCATAGGGCCATCACATTCAGCATCAAACCTGTCATGAATATCAGGATGTAGCCAGGCAGGAGCAGGTGGTGGTTGAAAGTGTAATCCTTGCATGTCTGAGATGCATTGGAAGCTGACATGCCAAGCAGGGATCAGAGGAGGGTGATGCTGAGGTAGCTGAGCCTGCTGGTGGGCTAAGGAGGCACAAAGAAAAGCTCTGAGAGAAGTCATTCCCCTCTAAGGAGCCACAGGCTGATCATTCCCCTTATCTGGAGCTGGGAGGTAGATGGGCACATCTCTCTTTCATCCAATCTGCTTTGGATTGCTGCTCTGTGGTCATCTAGCAGGGATGGTAACGTAGTCACCTAGAGTCAGCTTCTGCCTCTAGTTCAGCAGTTCTTTCCAGTGCTTATGGGGATCCTGATGCGATGGAGGGTCATTGCCACTTGTCAGCACAACTCCTGGTCAGAGCAGAAGACCAAGACAGAAGATTTGAAGTTAGAGGAGGAAATCTCTTGAAATGTTAAAATCATGGTGACTTCTGCAAAAAGAGCTCACAAAGAAACCAGAAGACTAAGAAAAACAGACGATAGAGAAGTAATTACATGACAGAAGAAGCCAGAGCACAGGGAAGGTAACTGTTGTACAGAATCATCTATTGCTCAGCCTCAGGAAATGCACTTTGCTTTGATCATTGCTGAGGGCACGTGTATATAAGAAAGGGACACCACAAGAGCGCATGGGGAAAGTAGTCAACACAGACCCAAAAAGTGAAAGAGAAAGAGAAAGAAAAAGAAGGGAGCAGGCATTTTGAGGGGAAAACACTGACTGCAAGGAATTGAAAATAAAACCTCTTTTATATGAAAGAATCAGGACTTTGTGCATCTGTACATCTGTGGCAGATAAAAAGACTTGACTTAGACTTAGGCTTGACTCCACCCCAGCTCCTTTTCCTAGGTTAAACAACCCACACAAAACTGAGTCCCAGCTAGCTGGAGTTCCTTACATTGCTTATATTCCTAAAGTTCTTGCTTGCATGGGACAAGTGGTGCTTATTTGGATTGCATGTCCTCAGGACATTTTCTGACTTACAACATGGTAAGGCATGTTGCTGTCCATGTCCCACAAACACACCACAACCAGGTAAGGCAAGGGAGCACACAGTAAAGAAGGATAGGCCATGGGTTTCAGTGGTCTGGAGGCTGGAGCACTTGCCCCATGAGGAGATGCTGAGGGAACTGAGCTGGAGAAGGGAAAGCTCCAGCCTATATAATGTATCTCCTATATTGGGTTTGCCCTGCAAGGTTTTGGCAACACGGTTGGCTTCTGTGAGAAGCTGCTGGAAGCTTCCCCTGTGTCTGACAGAGCCGATGCCAGCTGGATCCAAGAAGGACCTGCAGCTGACCAAGGCTGAGCCCATCAGTGATGGTGGTATCTCCCCTGGGATAACATCTTTAAGAAAGGGACAAGTTGCTGCACGACAGCAACTGCAGCCAGAGCAGAGGAGTGGGAATGTGTGAGAGCAACAGCTCTGCAGACACCCAGGTCAGTGAAGGAGGAGGGCAGGAGCTGCTCCAGGCACTGGAGCAGAGATTCCCCTGCAGCCTGTGTGCAGACCATGGTGAGGCAGGCTGTACCCCTGCAGCCCATCGAGGTCCATGCTAGTGCAGATACCCCTTGCAACCCATGGAGGTCCATGCAGAGCAGATTCCACCTGCAGCCCATGGAGGTCCGTGGTAGAGCAGAGGAATGCCCAAAGGAGCCTGTGACCTGTGGGAAGCGTGTGCTGAAGCAGCTCCTGGTGGGATCTGCAGTCCCATGGGGAGAGGAGCCCACACTGGAGCAGGTTTGGTGGTAGGAGCTGTGACCCCCCAGGGAACCCATGCTGAAGCAGCCTGTTCCTGATGGATGCACCCCATGGAAGGGACCCACACTGGAGCAGTTCATGAAGAACAGCCCATGGGAAAGACTCATGTAGAAGAAGTTAATGGAGAACTGCCTCCTGTGTGAGGGACCCCATGCTGGAGCAGGGGATGAGTGTGAGGAGTCCTCCCCTGAGGAGGGAGGAGCAACAGAGACAATCTGTGATGAACTGACCACAACCCTTGTTCCACATCCCCAAGGTGGCTACTGAAAGAGGATGGAGTTAGCTGCTCACAGTAAGGCATTGCAGGGGAACAAGTGGCAACGGGCATAAACTGAAGTAACAGTGATTCAGACTGGATATAGGACAAACTGTTTTCATTGTGGGTACAATCAGGCATTGCAACAGATTTCATAGAGAGGGTGTGAAGTCTCCATCCTTGGAAGTTTTCAAGACCAGGCTCTGTAAAGCCCAAAGTAACCTCATCTGATCTCATAGCTGCCCCTAGAGACTAGAGACGAGTCTTTAATTAGGCTAGAGACTGTCTTAATTATTCTATGATCCTAAACCCAGACATCTGCTCTCAAAGCTGTCGCAGTGGAGTACGGGTTGGTAAGTATGACACAGTTCCCCCACAGCTGTTTACATGGGTTAGATAGGTTTTCCCTCACGGAGCCCACATAGATTGTTGTCTACTTCAAAAGGAAAGTGGAATTTCTTGTCTAGAGGAAATCTTTACATGAGGTTGGTATTACTGGAAGAGGAGGCTAGTCAGCAACTTGTCAGCCACGACAAGCACATCAGAAATTCTGGATGGCATTATGGGGCAATGTACAGATCTAGAGGGAGGATCTATTAAAGACCTAAGTGTGTGCTAACCTCAGAGGTAGGAAAAGATTCATCCTGGCAACAATATGTTAAATGATGAAAATGGAAGTCTAATACGACAGAGCAGACAGCTATCAGATTGCCCATCCTTTTGTGTTGTTGGGCAGGTCCACCACCATGACAGGTTTCTTAGAGGAACTTCTATTGGTTTGTCAAGCTATACCTGGGTGGATTTCACCCTTCTTGGTGGATTAAGACTTTGTGTGAAGAATTGCTTAAGTTTAAAGTATAAAATAACCCATCTAGACAAAGCAGATATGCAAGAATGTTGGTTTCAAGCGAGATGATTAAATGTCTTAACAAATCTCAAGGGTTTTGATTGAGATAAAGTGAGGGAGACTGAGTCTCCAAGAGAGACCGTAACCTGCTGTAACATGTGTGCCCAGACCAGCCAGGTGTCAGGTGGAGGTGACTTTTCTCAACAGACAAGCTATTCAAGAGGAGGTATTCAATAAGGAATTTGAGAGGGAACTTTTCTGTCGTAATTTTACATGAAAAGAAAAGTCAATGTAAGATTTCCTATCTACAGCATCCAGTGCCAAGGAGTTCCAAAGCTTACTTGCATCTCAGGTGAAGAACCACTTCTGTGTACTATTATTTGAATCACCACCTGCTAGATTCAGTTCCTAGTTTTAGTGCTGGAACAGACAGTGGTAAAAATGTCCCTATTCACCTTCACCTTATCACGGATGGTTTTATAAGTGTCTGCCATATTCCCTTCAGTAACATCTTTTTGTTTTGTTTTGGGGTTTGATTTGTCTTTTTGAAGTTAAAGGGTCCTTGTCTTCATAGTTGTTCCTCTTTTGAACATCCTTGTTGCCCTCTCAGCACCTTTCCACTTCTGCTACTGCCTTTGGGAGCCCTGTGGCAGAGTGCTCAAAGGATACACAGTGTTGATGGGTTGAATTGAGTAGGCGTAAATCTCACTTGCAAAGGGCAATGGTCAGTTGAGATCGTCTTTTCTCATCCCTGGCTAGATGATGGTATTTTAAGGCCTCTCATTCACGCTTCTCTTAACCTCTGCAGTTCTTCACAGCCAAGCCTCATCTTTTCTGACTTGAATAATCTTATTTCTCCAATATACTTGTTATTTTATTAATATTCATCCCTCATGAATAAGTCAAACAGTGCAAGCCTCAGCACTGGTGTCTTACAGCTCCACTGTGAAAACCAAGCATCTGCCTTCATTCTCTGTCCTATCTTGTAGGCACTTTTTATCCAGGTTAGCACCTTTTATTTCAGTTTCTTTAAGCACCATTGGTGGAAAGCAAAGCTTGTTGGCTCCTTCAAAGAAGGACTGCGAGACACAGCATCCCTTTATAAAAGCTGTAATGACTCTTCCCCAGTAATTAGATGTGACTGCATGGCAATTGATTTTTCCCCTTTATTATAGCTTATAATTTGTTCAGCACAGACATCAAGCTCCCTGGTCTGAAGTCCCTCAAGAGCCTTTTCTCAAGCTGTGTCTGCAAGTGAGCCTTTAAAAGTAGTTTTAGGCAAATGTTTTTACACCACAGTTAGTGAGGTCAGCCACCCTTCAGCTGCTTTCTGACCTCTGGGGTAGGAGCTATGGGGTTTCAGACGGCGTTTATTTCATCGTGCTGCTCCACAGTCATCCCTACCACCATCTGATCAGAGAACACCCTTTGATTAAAGTAGTTAAGAGAGAGTTTTAGCTGTGGAAGTCTCTCAGGCTTTCCTGCCATGAACACCAGTGCAAGAAATCTGTTCAGTGTTTTGCCCACCATCACCTTTTCTCTATTTTCTGAGTGGTCTTTCCATACATATGAGCCCGTCAGCCTTCGAGACACCAAGCAGCAGAGTTCTAAACTGGCAGCAAAGATCACTGAGAGCAGAAAATAGATTGGGGTTTTCGAAGGGATTTTTTTTGTTGGTGGGTGGATTTAAGCACTGAAGTAAGAATCCTCTATGGTGGTGTTACTGACGTTAAGCTGAGAGGCTGACATTTGACATAATAGATGCTGTAGTCAAGATCTCAGAGACCTGAGATGAGATGTGTACATATGTGGTCTTTGGAAAGATGAAGCTGTGGGAACAAAGCATTTCTCTGCAGAGTTCTGCAGGTACTGTTTTGACTGTCCCTTTACCATTAAAAGGTAATTGCTTTAAGCTAAAAGAGAGGGAAGATTGAGATGAGCTCTTAGGCAGAAGCTCTTCCCTGTGAGGGTGCTGAGGCGCTGGCACAGGGTGCCCAGAGAAGCTGTGGCTGCCCCATCCCTGGCAGTGTTCAAGGCCAGGTTGGACACAGGGGCTTGGAGCAACCTGCTCTAGTGGAAGGTGTCCTTGCCCATGGCAGGGGATTGGTACTGGATGAGCTTTAAGGTCGCTTCCAACCCAAACCAGCCTGTGAATCTATGATTCCTTCACTGAAAAGGAAAGCTAAGAGTGAAGCAGGTTGGTATCAGGAAGCTGAAACTGGTCGGATGTCTGATTGCCACAGGCCATGTTCTTTGTGTTTGCCTCAGAAAGAACCTCAAGCACCCATTGCTCCACATGAAAGCTGCTGAGGGGACTCAAGTCAACAGCTGTGTAAAGAGGCAATGGTACCACAATCCTCCTCTTCATGATGAGATGCTGACTTGAGATTCTGAGGGGACTTCTGTTTGGTGACTGACCTCACGTGGCCCAGAAGGTGGAGGAAGCATCTTTTTACCTCTCAGTGAAGATCAACATAAGCCCCTGAAGTCCATGTGCCAAGACCACGGTCCTTTTCCCAGCAGGGACAGAAAAGAGCAACTCAAACTTACAGATCCTATCTAGGCAGATGTTTCTTTCTGGTTTTAGGTAGAAAATGAATTTTCTGCCTATATTCTTGCCCTGGGAGGGGGAACAGGGGGAATGACATAGACATGACACATGCATGGGCACCTGTGTGCACACAGACACACATATGCCACTGAGCAACTGCTGCAGGGGAGGAGAAGCTGCAGAAACAAGAAGGAAGGAAAAACACCAGTGCAGGAGGAAGAGGTGCTGGTATAGGTGTGAGATGGGGGCAGCATCGGCTGCTGTTGCTGTGTGATGGAAGAGGAGAATGTGATGCTGGAAGGTGGTCGGACAACCCTAAAACCACGGTTGAAAAGAATGCACTGTTCTCTCCTCCCACAGCTCCCCTCCTGTGGCCACCCCACTTGAACAACAGCCATGGCAGGGGGGTTGGAACTACATGATCTTAAGGTCCTTTCCAACCCTAACTATTCTATGATTCAGATCTATGTGCCTCCTGATGGTGCTGAGGAGCTGCCTAGGGCCCTGGCTGGTGTGGGGTGCTAGACTGAGACAAGCCAGAGAGGGGGCTCAAGGTGGGCATCTCTCTCCAGAGAGGTGGTAGGCCTGGAGACCCCACAGGGCATGCAAAACCCATGAGGATTTGGGTAAGCACACCCACCCCCACCCCTACTGTACTGGCATACAGGGGCCAGAACAGGCAGCGTGCCCTGAGGTGATGTGTGCCTGGCATCGCACTGTATGGTCCTGGGCTTCTTTTCTCCAGACACTCTCTCACCAACAGACACTGCCTCCTAGCACTGCAGATAGGGGCACAGCATGGTGGGCAGAAGGCTTTGCACAGGGCTGAGAAACGAGGTGGAAAAAGACAGCAAGGGAAAGCTTGCTGAGCATGCCACAAGGTCAGTGTTTCTGAGAGCGACTTGTGCTTTAAACCCTGGACCTCTTAGGGGCTGGGGATGCAGACAGAGAATGCAGCACTGGGGTGCAGAGCAGCGCAGCTGAAAATACAGACTGCATGATCTTGCTGAGTAAATCTGAAACCAAAAGGAAATAACAAAGAGTGCATCGAGCCTCAAAAACACCCAATTTTGCTTTAGAAATCGAAGGTATATTTTACCATAAATGTGGATGCTTTTTATCTACTATAAGTGATATTTAAGCCCCACTTCTCACCTTTTTTTTCTAACCAAGAAATTAGATTATTGTGATGATTTATTGTGATGATTAGAACTGTGAAGACATTCAAGACTTAGGATGTCTGGTTTTTAATGAGAGATAGGTGACATCAAAGCCGAGACCTCCATATTTAACTCACAAGGTCTGGTCACACTTCTACTGCCTATTCCCTAGAGGTGTCATCCCCCTTCATCACCTGAGGGCCCCATGGAACAGGGGTTCCATAGTGGGCACTTTGACAAGTAAGCTCTGCAGTCTGCCCGTGCTTTTAGCATCACAGGATCCTAAAACCAGGATCCTCTGAGTAAATACTGAGACTTGCCTTGCACTTTTAGGTTCACCAGGCAACTGAAAGAGGTGTAGAGGGTTCCCCATTGTCAGGTCTGGCAGCACATGGGGATCAGTGCCCAGTGCCCCCACACCATCCAGCTCTCCAGGTGTTTCCATCTCACTTACCTCTGTGCTGGTGAAGAGCCAAAGGTGCACGCAGGCTCCCTCGATAGCGACTGCTGTCACTGCAGAGCAGTTGATCCAGGCACCAAACCTCAAAGCAGCTGGAATCAAAACAGGACCAGGCAGGCTCTTTGCCTACCTGTTCATCCAAATCACAGCCATCCTCTACCTCACCATATCTAGTTCTACATCTGTCATGCTGCAGCTCATCTCCGCTCCTTTCTCACTTCCTGATGCGCTTCTGGCTGCCCACAGAGAATGAACCTTGCTACCCAAAGCTGATTAAGATAAACGCCATCCTATGAAAACAAACGTAATCATGAAAGAAGCAACACCCAGATGTCCTTGCAACTGAGGAGACCTGCCCGGGGTCATAGTGCTGAACACTGGCTTGTCTCTGCTCAGCCACCCCCAGGACTGACAGGGGAAAACTAAAACATCCCTCTCCCCATAAACAGGAGGTAGAAGTGAAACAGAGGAAGTGAGAGCAAAGCTGATTTAACTGTCAGGCAGTGCAAAGGCTCAGGGTCCTGTCAGTCCCATGGGTTGGGTGCTTTGGGACTGAGCTCCTGCCAGCAGGACCCCAATGGAACTGAGCTCTGAAGAGGTGTCAGTGCCCGTGGCAGGCAAAGGCACGTTTGCCACAGATATCAGTCCCTGTAGTTTAAAGCTACAGGAGGCACGGTGCTAAGGAGGTACAAGGGCTGATTTAGCAGGACATCTGTGACCTAGCACTGCCAGGCATAGCTGGGAGGGGATGTGCCCTTCTGCAGAGCCCATCTGGCACTCTGTTGCTTCAAGTCCTATTTCTACATTGCCAGTCCCAGCACACCTGGAAGAAGACAGAGGTCATGGGGACACTGCTAATCCTAACAGTAGTCCTTGCCAGAAGCAGCTGCCTTGAGGTGCTGTGCCTGTGGGATCCCGCTTTCTCTGCAGCCCTTGACCAACTCCTCCGCCTGCTGGCTGCTGCTGCTGCTGTTTGACTTCCTCACTGCCTGCCTCCCTTGCTCTGCCAACACTGCCTCCTCATTCAGGGGATGACACACCGAAGGATGTATGTTCCTGATGCTCATAAATCCTTGGAGGGTACAATAGCACTCAAACCATTGATCTCACCCTGCTCCTTTTTAGTGCTTCTCTTCTTTAACCGGACCTACCCTTTCTCATCTCCTAGTTGCTGGGGTCTTTGTTCTCACGGCTTTTTGTGTCTCTCCAGTTCCCGTAGAGGCTCTGGTGCTGATAAAGATTTGCAGATATACCGGGGAGGGGGGTAGGTGTCCTGGTGTCCTTCTCCCTTTGCAAAAGGAGTCTCTGATAGCCTCTACGGGACCTTTCCCCTCCCCTCACACACATGCACACGCCTGCCTGAGCCTGGCTTCTCCATCTGTGCCAGAGAAGGAGAACACGGTGGCACTTAGCCCATGAGCCCGTGAGCCCCAGAGCATCCCTCACCCAGGTTCACTCACCTCACCAGCTCCCAGTGCATCAGCCCACGAACTCCATCTCCCCATGCCCAGGTGGGCTCACACCTCTGCTCTGCTCCTCACCGTCCCTTGGAGGCTGAGCTCGTGGTGAAGAGCAGTGCAACCCCTGGTGTTTCCTCAGAGCTGAGTCTGTAGCAGGTAAGACCAGATTACTGGGGTGTGTGTTGGAGCCTACACCCTGGTGCTGCAGATCCCAACACGCCTGCCGCCCCAGAGAGCTGACTCCAGAAAGCAGGAACAAGGACCCAACAGACCTAGGGATGCAGGCTGCTGGGAAGGCAAGGAGAGAGGTGGAAAGAGTGCTACACCAGAGGGGCTGCTAGGTTTGAAAGGATGACTGATAAACCCTAGTACTCTTCATACCTCTTTGTGCAGGGAAATGTGGACGAGCACAGCAAAGGGGGGCCATGGTGGAGGAGCCATAGCAAGGCTGGAGCAGCCACGCTTCACTTTCTGAATGATTCAGACAGGAAAAGCAGAAACTTCCAGGCTGTGTGAGCAGCTTCACCCTCCAGGATGGTGGGGACGGCTGGCACTTCCCAGACCTGATAGGGAATGACAGGCTTTTATCTCCCAGGACATTCTGGTCACACAACACACGTTTTCCTGGGCTCCCAGGGGCTCTTAGGAAAACCCTACCCACTGAGAAGAGGGGCAGCCCCCTCATCATGCCTGCTTGGGGAAAGGGCAAGGGCTGAACCTCTTGCCATGGGGAAGAAAATGAGGGGGATGAAGAGAGACCTGCCAGAGAAAGAGTGAAGAGAGCCATGGAGCAGCCAGGCTGTGTTGGTTTGCTGTAGCTCTGTGGGCTGCGGGGTAGAAAAGAAGAATCTCCATCCTGGAGGAGGCAGATGAGGGAGAGTCCTCAAGGATGGTGGCTGGGGATGAGGGAGGCTGCAGACCTTCCCCTGCGTGCTCCCATGAGCTGTCACTGCTGGGAAACTCCATCTCTCCAAAGGACTTGGTGACAGAGCAGTGATGAGCTGGTGGGTCTAACAACCAGCTTGGTGCTGCCGGGTTCTTCTTGTGTGGAAGGCTCTGCTGTTGGCTGGGGCTCTGGCTGCTTCCTGCTGATGGAGTGACTTGACTGTGGATGAAGACAACCACATCGACTGCTGACAGAGACCGGGGCTCTGACAATGAAGCTGTCCCCAGCCATGGGAGCTCCCTCTGACAGATGCCTGCCCCAGACCCCTAGTTCAGACCCTCCTATGATGCTGCCTGAGCTGTAGGTAGGGAGCAGCACCAGCGTGGAGGCTCTTCAGTGCCAACCTCTCAGGTTTCTGTGGGATATCAGGTCTTCGATGCTGGCACTGCATACCCAGGCAGCCCATGGTCATTGCCCAGGGTAGGGGCTACCTGTGTGCTGCACTGCTGGGCTGGAGCTGCTGTGAGAGCAGTCATAGGCAGTGGGAGGTCACAAGAGGGGATTCAGGTGCTCCTGCACAGTGGATGAAGGTGGAGTTTCAGCAGGGACAGGATGGAGATGATGTGGCTGTACGTGGTGCTAATCCTGGTGCAGCACATCCTTGCTGTGACCTGGCTGTGAGTATGCTTTGTCTGGATTGGGAATTCACCTGGGGAGGTGCTGTCACCCAAGAAAACAGGCAGATCTGTGAGAAAGGGTGGAAGAAACAACCAGGCAGCCCATTAAAGAGGGGCATCTCTGGGAGCATGAGGGGAGAGTGACAGTGAAGCTGGAGAGGTGCAGAGCAGGATGAGAAGCAGCAATGTCCAATTTGGTACAGACAAGAGGCAGCACATCCCCTTCCCTGACCCGTTTCTGCTCTAAAATAAGGCTACAGAGGGCTAGTCTACAGAGGGCAGACACAGCTCTGGCTCTTTTATCTGCGCCTGACTCTTCCATGCCCCACAGGTACCTGGCCAAGCAGACTTCCCTGTGGGTGCTCCTCTGGGACCCCAGGGCCTGCGAGAGCCTGGTAGCAGAGCAGGTCTGCATTTGCCATCGGGAGGTGGAAGCCATGGATGCGGTGAGGCGAGGCTTGGAGCTGGCCATCGAGGGGTGCCAGCACCAGTTCCACTCCCAGCGGTGGAACTGCTCCATGCTGCAGGTCTTCAGCAAGGGGGCCATCCAAGGTCAGTGATGGGGAGGCAGTGCAGGGGATCCCTTTGGTATGGCCATGGGGTCTCCTTGACACACTGGCTCTTTTCCTGGGCTAGTATGCCCAGAGCACCCACTACCCTCCTCCACATACTACCATAGCTGTCAACACACAGCGAACAGAACCAAATGCGTGTGTTATTACAAATATTAGTATTCTGGCTAAACTCTTCCTCATTTGGCCCGATTTGGCTTTTTGTTCCCATGTGGATTATTGTGGGTACTAGCTGGTGCAAACTGGTGCAGACTGGCCAACCCGGCCCTTTGGGGTAGCAGCTCAAATCAAAGCTTTTGCACTGCAGCTGAGGTCCATTTTTTGTTGCAGGCCAGAAAAAAAGATCTGCCTATGCCCCCAAACAGTACTGAACAGATTTGGCATGTGTTTGGGTGGGAAGAGCCATGCAAGGAGCTATGAGCAAGAGCCTCTTTGGCTCCTAGACACAAGGCAGCAGGGTCCACCCTGAGAAACCCCTCTGTGTGCGAGGCTCAGCCCCTGGCATTCCCCACCATGGCTCCCCTTTCACTTCTCCTGGTGGCTGAGGAGTTGTCTCCCACAATGGCCCAGGAACTCAGGGTGTCAAAGGGTCCCGAAGGACCCCACAGAGCCGTCTCCCTTAGTGGTCCAAAGCTTTAGAAACAGCATCACCAGGCGAGCATCCTTACAGTGATTTCTGCTGAGCAGTCTCCATCAGAATACATCTTCCCTGCACACAATCGCAACCTCTTTTCCCCTGCGCCGTGTCCCATCAGCGCCTTTCCCCCCGCAGACTGATGCATGTCTCTCCCCACTGCAGGCACACGGGAGTCTGCTTTCACCCACGCCATCGCCACGGCGTTGCCTTTGCTGTCACTCGTGCCTGCAGCCACAGGGAGCTGGAGTGATGTGGCTGCGACCACAAGGTCCGAGGACTCAGTCCCGAAGTGCAGGAGGAGGCTGGGGACGGGGACGGGGTGGCAGAGGAGAAGGTCCATGTAGGAGACCCTCACCGGGGGGGTCACTTCCTTCTCCACAGCCCTCAGCCCTTTGGTTGCTCCCCCCAGGGCTGCTTTCCCTTTGCAGGTTTCCGATGGTGAGGCTGCTCTGATAACCTCCTTTATGGGATTCCTTTCTCTCAAGCCTTTGTAGACAGCCCTGAGAGGAGTCGCGGTGCCTCCTCCAGCCGAACGCTCGTGAACCTGCACAATGAGGCTGGGAGGAAGGGACGGGCAGGAACAAGGGCTGGGGAGCAAGCCTGGCTTCAGCGGCTTCTCCCTGCCTAGGTGGAGCTCGGTCCCGCTCCCTTACCCTGAGATGCTACTCGGGACAGCCATGGGTCCCTAGGGCAGGTCTGTGTCCTGCTGCCTTTTCCTAGCCCAGCATCACGCTGCTCACACTGAGCTGGCTCCTCTCCTGCGTGTGTGTGGGTCCCAGCCTCCCTAAACCACCTCTGTGCAGTCTCCTTTTCCTCACAGGCCTCAGCTGTGATTTACCTTTCTTGGCCTTTTTTGCAAAGGAAATGGGTTTCTCCATCCTGCTCTGAAGGGCTTCCCCGCTCCTTCCCTTCCTGAATAAAACCACCATCTTCTGCAGGGGACACTGTTAGATCTGGTCCTCTGAATGTCCTCTGGCTCTGGGCAGATCTGTTCCCATCCCCACAGCAGGTCCCCATCTCTTCCTCTGCATCAATGGTTTCTTTTACATACCCATCTGGTTTCCGCAGAAGGGAGTCCCTTCTCTTTCAAAATGGCCTGGCTTAAAGAAGCTTTTTAACTCTCTTGCCTTGCCTTCCCTGATCCCTTCCCTTCCCACCCCATGGAGGTGGCACCCGCAGCCATAGGAACTATGGGTCAGGGTGTCCCAGCTCTGACTGGCAGCTGCCTCCTGCTCCAAAGGCTCTCCTGGCCCCCATGAAGGTGGCGTGTGGGGCTCCTGCAAGGTTTGCACATGCTGGAAGGTGATGCCTCCCTTCCACAAGGTGGGCAACATCCTCAAGGAGATGTTCAAGGGCGCGACAGAGCTTTACCCCAAACGGGTTGGTTCCCGTGAGCTCCTGGTGCCCAAGAGCTCTAGCTTCAAGCCCTACACAGGTCATAACTTGGTCTGCCTGTTGGCCAGCCCAGACTTCTGTGGCAAACAATGATAGGACAAGGGGCAATGGGTACAAACTGGAACACAAGAGGTTCCACTTAAACTTCTTCTCAGTGAGGGTGACGGAACACTGGAACAGGCTGCCCAGGGAGGTTGTGGAGTCTCCTTCTTTGGAGACATTCAAGACCCGCGTGGACACGTTCCTGTGTAACCTTATCTAGGTGTTCCTGCTCCGGCAGGGGGATTGGACTAGATGATCTTTTGAGGTCCCTTCCAATCTCTAACATACTGTGATACTGTGATACTTCTGCAACTGGGACACCCAGTGTGGGGTCTTTGGCACTTGAGGCTGCCAATGCAACCGGACCTCAGCGGCCGTGGATGGCTGCCCAAGAGCTGCTGTGCTGCAGCAGGGGCTTCCACACAGTGCAGGCTGAAGTGGTGGAGTCCCGCTGGTGCTGCACTAAGTGCAGGCAGTGCTGGCCCCTTGTGGAGGTGCAATTGCTGCCACTGAGGGACACCCTGGGGAGGGACATGGGGAGCAGGGGAAGGCGTGGGGAGACACACACAGCCCGGGGGGGAGCGGAGGAGATGTGGGGTTCTGCTGTCCTGGCTCCAGGGGTGCCACCAACTCCCCTGTGCTCCCCCCATGGCACCCCCTTGCCAGCCCCGCTGGGGTTTCTGCTGTTTGACTTGTGTTTCCAGAGGGAGAGTGGGAGAACGCAGGCCCAATGAACCCTTCAACTCAACCGTCTGCAAGGGAAAGCCAAAGGTGTATGTCAGCTCCTTCCTGGTGCTGCATTGGGACCTGAGGGTACCTGGCTCTGCTCCTTCCCATGGGCTGGGAGGAGAAAAGGTCATGGTGGAGTCCTCATGTTCAGGGGGATACATGGGCTACAGCAAGTGAGGAACACCATGGTGCAGAGCAGGGGGCCATAGGGACCCACCTCGGACATCAGAGGGGTCACTGAGTGGTGTAATAGAGCAGTGGCATCAGAGAGAAGGGAGCAAGTTAGGTTTATAGGAACAACATGCTCTTTATACATCTTTGGGAGATCTCCTAACCAGTATAAACCTGCAGGGAGGGAGGGAGGGAGGGAGGCAAGAGTTGGGTGGGATGTCAGACAAGGATGCTTTGGCCAGAGACTCTAAATCCAGGTTCCCAGGGCTGATGCCTTCTCCAATGCTCAGCTGCTCCTTTGGCTGGAGAAAAATGCTTCCAGGGGTTCCAGCAGTGACATGCTGTTGAGTGAGGCTCCCCTCATAGTGTGCTGCTGCCACTGGTGTAGAGCAGATGCTTGGAGGGTGAGATCTGGCCATGATGAGCTGCCATAACCAGCAAGGGGTCGGGGAAGAGCTGTTCAAGTCTATGCAGGTGACTACGTCCCACCACAGCCCCAAAGAGCCTGATGGAGCCCTGTGCTCCATGCATACGTCGCTGCTACCGTGCATCACCCCTTGGAGAGGTTGAGGAACCTCTGGTGCCACTGCTCCACTTCCTCCTCTCCCTCCTTCTCACTCAGCACCCGGTACGTCTTGTTCCTGTCGCAGCTGCGGTGAAACACCTGCAAGGACAGCCTGAGCTCATGGGACTGATACCACTGCCCATCCCTCCCCGTGATGGATGGCATATGGAGGCTGGGATGATGGGGGCACGAGGGGGAAGAGGGGAGAACCAACAGGGAAGCAGGATGAGAGGCTGATATCTAAATGTGTGTTAGAGATATGGGCTAGTGCTCTGTGCTGCTCTTGTGTGTTTGGGTTTTGTTACCACCTAGGAAGCACCCAATAGATGAGGGAGACCTTTCCCTACAGGGATAGACAGGGATACCCAGACAGATGGGGGCCTCCCCACAGCTCCTCTGTCTCTCAACATTAATGTCTGTCTCCGATGCCATTTCTTACAGCATCTGTGCAAATCCCATGGCCTCAATTACACACTATTTGTCACCCCCTCCAAACACACACAATTCTGTCCTGCTGGAGGGAAAAGCAGTGTGCCTGTGAGCCCTGCAGGGGCTTGGGCTGGCTGTGGAGGGACCAGTGATGGAGAAGGCTGTGTAAAGGGAAGTGCAGGCTGCTTCTTACCCTCTGGTTTTTGAGGATCTGCTGGAGACACTGGTAGCTTTTGAACCCGCAGTAGCTAGGGTGCTGAATTCCATCTGAGTCACAGATCTGGAGGGAGATGTGAATGAATGCCAGAGGAAGAAGAGGAGAAAGAGGGATGGGAGCACCCACTGGGCACCCACCTGGTTTGGGACATCTCCATCTTTGAAGGCACTGTACTCCGCCTTCAGCCAGAGGGCCACACGAGGGTCCTTACAGCCATGAGTGGCCATCCGGCTGCACCAGTACTCTGCCCTCAGCCCTCTGAAAGCCTCCGTGCCATAGTTCTCCGAGGTCTCTGGGAAGCTGGTCTGCAAAAACGGGATTAAGAGAGCTATGCTCCTTCCTCCCCTCCCCACCACCCAGCAGGACATGCAGCGTGCTCAATACCTTGTTGCTTGCAGCCTGGTGCTGGGCTGAGATCTGAGGGTTGATGTAAGGGGAGAAGCTGCCCGTCTCACAGTGAACACGGTCCAGGGTATGGATGTTTTGACATTGCTCCCTCTTCAGCGAGCAGAAAGCGCAGTCAGGACACAGGTCCGTGTGATGCCGCCCGAGGCTGTCACACACCTAGGGTGGATGCAGTCAGGAGGTCAGTGGGGAAAGGGGAGACTGAGGAGCTCCCATATCCCTGGCTTGGAGCTTGCCTTCCTGGGCACCAGGTCGGCTTATCCCAGGAGGTGGCACCAGAAAGGACAGTGCTGCTGTGCTCTGGCTGCCAGGGCACTGTGTTCAGCACTGCAGGGAGCCCTGCACACAGAGAGAGCCAAGGTGGATATCAACATCTTACCGAATCTCCGAACCCAAGGACTCTGTCTTCCATCTCCTTCCAAGCCTGAGTGACCACTGACGAGAGACAGTTTCCCTCCAGCACTGCATAGCACAGGAGCATCACTGCCTCATCCGTCTTCAGGGCTAAAAGGCTGACAGAGGAAAGGACAGAGGAAGTCAAGTCTCATCTCTTGTCACGAGCTAAAGAGAGACCTTTAGTTAAAAACTGAAGGAGGAAAAACAACCCCAAGGCAGAGCAAAAACAAAATGTTCCCAAAGAAACCTGGGACTCTTGGTATAATGTGAGTATCTGCGGAATATGTGCACATGGAATGGGTTCCCCAAGGAAGTTGTGAATGCTCCATCCCTGGCAGTGTTCAAAACCAGGTTGGACAGTGTCTTGGATGGCATGGTCTAATGTGAGGTGTCCCTGCCAATGGCAGGGGGTTAGAACTGGATGATCTCAGGGTCCTTTCCAAACGAAACCATTCTGTGAATCTATGGTTCAGGAGTATGTGAGAAGGACTGGACAAGAAACCTTCCCATAAGGTCCTTTTTTGTCCATCTGGGTGTACACCAAGGAGGTGCTAGAGGTCTGCTGAGTGTTGACCATGGAGCAGCTTCATTTGGGTCTGGAGCATGTAACTTAATAAGCCTCCCTCAAGCTTGAACCAATATATTTGTCAGAATGGGGAAAAAACTGGTAACGATGAATTAACAGTTCATCCAAACCAACATGGGAAATTAAAAGCAGAAGATTGAATGCCAGCAGCATAAGGACAATATTCCGCATTTCTTAGGAACAGTAGAAATTGTAGACATGGTAAAATGGTGCCGGTTATCAGTGATGAAGCGCAGGAGGTACAAATGCTCCTTTGATATTTGTCTTCTGTGTCTGGAAACAAAACCAGTGATAAATAAAGCAACCACTTTAGTTTCTGACCTTTCAGAAAGTAAGAACCAGCAATTGCTTATGTTAAAATGCTCTTAAAATCCATACATGTGTTACCCTGTATGGAGAAGTTTTCCTGAGAGTAGCTTAAGCTTTCTGGAGACCTTCAGGTTAGCAATAGATTCCCCAAGGCCTGGAAAACTTCCACCTAGGGTGAGAAGCTAAGAAAGCTTTACTTAGCTGAGCACAGACACTAGTGGGTGGCCAGTCAGTATTTTCACCAAGGTGGGGATCATCTGGAAGGGTATTTCATTAGCAGATGGAACAGCAATGACTTTCGGTGACTAGAACTTGGGATGAGATTCATTCAAACCAGAAATGAGCTGCGTTTTCCTGTCACAAAGGGTATGTACCACGGGAGCAACTGATGGGGTGGTTTCTCCACAGCTTGGAGACTTCAAAAAGGTATCACAAGTTTCTCTTAGTAGAAGGGCCACATGATGCTGTTTGTTCTTCAGGGCTCATCAGGCAGGGCTCTCCATCATGTACTGAGCAGGAAGGCATGGGTGAATAATCAGAGTAATAGCCAAGCCTGAAGGCTAAAAGAGATCAGCCTCCCCACTGTTAAGCTCTTGCAGTTAGGTGGTGTGTGAAGAACTGGAGATGTAAGGAATGACTAGAATACGTGAGATATGTGAGAGTCATACGCTGCATGTACAGGAACACAGAGATGCTTGGCATTTGCATCGAGTTTGGGTGTGCACTCACATAGGAGAACATGAGCATTAGGGTTACTAAGAAGTTTTGTGCACCTCCTTAGTGTGCACCTCCTTTTGTGCATACCCTGCCATACACCGTGGATGAAGGAGCTTGCAGCATGTGCTCTGTACTTGCAGTGAGTCAGAAACAAGTGATGCTGTACCCAAACACTAACCAGCAGCAAATGAGCGTGTCAGAATCTCTGAAGGCATCTCTCTCTGCTAAAAGAGAACCTTGAAAGTCTTAGTCATGGAAAATATGAATATTAGTTTTTTCTTTAAAAGAGGCATTACAGTCAAGCTTGTTTTATCACAGTGCAGCAGATGCTGCTCTGAGCCTGCATCCAGGCAAGCAAAGACGCCATCCTGTACTGTACCGTGGACAGCCTGCAAATGGTATTCTGTAGATACAGACATGTGAACAAATTACTGTGCTGTCAGCCCACAGCATGCCAACCACATCCACTGGAAAGATGAGGATGCTGAATACCTGGAAATCTACATATCCCAAGCCTGTGCATCTCTTACTGCAATGCACCACAGTGTGACCAAACTGGTCAGAGGTGTGTGAAAGAAAGGTCTGAGTTCAGAGAAGACAATAGGATGCAAACTGAGGAGAGCAGTGACATACACTAATTTCAGTTGAAAAGAATTAAAATGTGCCAGTAAAACACAGAAACAAAACCCCCATATCCTGTATCCTTCTGCAGCCTATAAGATCCTTTATGTTCATTCCTCCATTCCATGGCTCCACATGATACTTTTAATCTAGGGGGGTATTTTTGTTTCCTCTGCAAACATTCAGACCATTTAGGATACCAAGAAGAACAGGAAGTTTTAAATTTAGACCAAAGAGTCTGTGCTGATCCCACACTAAAATCCTGTTCAGTTCAACCCTCTCAGCAGTTTTCTGTGACTGGGAGCTGAACATCACCGAGAGAAGAGCCAGTGACAGCCTCCAAGGCACACCTAGCATTTCTCTTCTGTAAAGGATTGCTCTTCGTGTGTGGATTACCTGACACTGACAGTTTCTCTCTTTAAGCAGTTGTAACCCAGGAGAACAAGTGTTCACGTTGCTGATAAACCCGTGACAGCCAAAGGGAGTCCCTGCCACCGCTCAGATGCTTGACTGCTTCGGAGCAGTTGGAGTTTCACCTTCAAGATTTGGTGAACTGGCTGGGGCATCCTGATGAGACTCACACATTTCAGTTAATGACCCTGGTATTATTCCCCAGTCTCCTCTGAAAGAATTTGCCCACAGATATGTCACTAATGGCTATTGTTCCACTACTCGCTTGTTATTCCAGTGGCGCATTGTGATTCAATTGCTTCTTCATCACACCAGGATGATCGGGTCAATAAAGCGAGAGGCATATTAACAGTCATTAAAGTGATATGAACAGCTCTGGTGTTTTCATCACTGAGGTATTAAAACAAAGGAAGAAAAACTGTCTAGCTTGCTGTACTTCTTACGAAATAGCAACTCCCAGTAAAAGGGTTTAACAGCCTTTGCTTTCTCCACCACACGTACTGGTCCAAGAAGTGTAGCCCAAACAAGACACAAATAGATTACAGGCAAAAGAGGCACAAAAGGGAACTTTTCTATAAAGAGTACTTCCATAAGTAGCGATGAAACATCTGCTGAGTGTTGATGACCTACTTGTTCAGAACAGATGCCAAGTCAGATGTGGGCAGGAGCCTCTGCTGCACAGCAAACTTTAGATCTGTAGACCACGTTTGGTATGATCAGCTCTCGCATTCCTATTCACTACCTTCTGACAGTTTGCTGTTGGCCCTAGGTGCACATGAATTGTGTCTGTAACACCCACTCACCCACCCAGGAAACTGAGTTGTGCCCTCAGGTTGAGTTTACCAAGAAACTCTGTTGCCCTATCTGCCACATCCTCCTCTATCTCTGTTCTCCATCTCTGTTGTGAGGCTTTCTGTCCTCCTCAAGGTAGCAAAATCAGCAGCTGGTTTACCACCTCGGGGTGAGTGAAATGCATCTCTATCATCCCCGAGTGACAGCCAGCTCCTGAAAGCAGCTGAGAAGTGTCAGGAGAATGGGTCCCACCCCACATCACCGGACCCAAGGAGAGGTCCTGTGCTCCTCCCTTGCGTGTGGGCACCTGGAATCCACAATGCCGTGGCACTAGCTGCACCCCAGGGCTGTCCCTGGTTTCTCTCCCAGCACCCTGGCACTCATCTTCCGTGTATCCAGCCACTCTCCCACTGCTGCTGCCTTATGGCACTGCTGGGGCTTTGTGTCCCATCACAGTGGTATTACAGACAAATGGCATGGACCCTGCAGAGTATAACAGCACTGCTGCTGGTCCCCTGCAGTCGTTGACATGGTGCTGAATATGTCAGTGGATGTGCAGAAGTTTCACTATGCATCAGGGGAAGTCATAGGTCTAAAGCAATTTTCTAATGCCAATCCCTCCCTAGTTTAGTACCTCTGCACATTGGTGGCCTAACCTGGAAAAAGCCTAACGGTTACTTGGAGGCAATGTTTCAAAGGGAATGTGAAAAGATGTAGTTAAGAATCTGTGGGCAAAACTCAGTAATTGCTCAAAGGCAAAAAGGGAAGAAATCAGGTAAAAGCCTGTCTCGCTCTAACATCTCAAGACATGGAGTGACACACACAGAGCCTACTTCAGCGTATCTCTGAAGAGTGCTAGCTAACAGCACCTTTCCCTCATCATGATGACAAGGATTTGGGCCATTAACTTTCAGCTGCTGAACCTCTCCGATATTGGCTGGCTGTGTGAGATGGAGTGAATACCTGAGGCAAGCAAAAAAGAACATAAGGAGCAAACAGCAGCTCTCTAGCACTTTGTAACCTCTGATTTAGGGCAGTTGCTGCAGGAAACTAAAACCACTAAGGAAAGAGCCATTCTTAGCATTTTCAGAAACAAAAGAGATCTTGGCCTGCATGCCAAGAAGACAGGCAGGCTGGCTAGGTACCTGACAGATCAAACCCAGAAAGTAACCTGACACAGGAGCTATTGGGAGGATGGGGATGTAAACGCATCTCTCCTGCTGACCTGTTCATATTACAGTCCTTTACCTCTGCCCCTGAGACACTGCAAGACCCCTGCTTTGAGATCCCAGAAGCATCTGAATTTCATCTAGCCTGGTGGTGAGAGGCAAACCTGCCTTGTTACGATTCCCCTTTCACAGTTAGTTGTGCACAGTAGCAATAGCAAGACACCAAACTGGTCCCTGGACTCACTGAATGGTCAAAAGATGCCAGTACATAATCCCCAAGTCACAGCTAGCTCCTGAAGCAGCTGAGAAATGTGAGGGGAATGGGTCCCATCCTGCACCAAAGTGAAAAAAGGAATTGCAGACAGGTGATTCTGAGTCAAAAAGAGTGGTGGTTTTTTGTCTGGGGATGGTATTTTTAATGAATGGTCTGATCTTAAACCTGCTGGGGATGAAATACGTAAGCACACCAAGAACTGCTTGGAGTGGTAAAACAGGAGGAGGAGGGTGCAGCCACTGGGAGGGCTCTGCTCAGCCTTGTTGGGGAAGCTGGGCTCATGAGCATCCACACACGAACACCAACAGGGTAAGGGCCGTGACACTGCAAGAGGTGTAGGGGTCGTAGCAGACAAACAACACACCAGCAGAAAGCCCTGGGAACAAGGGCAAATGCAATTCCTGTGTGCAAACAGAGGAGCAGGAGAAGGTGAATGAATGGTGCAAGCTGAATGGTGCAAGCAGAGCTGGAGTGTGTGGATGTTTTGAAAGGACACTGAAAATTGCCACCAAAAAATGAGAGCTGGACGGGCTTTACAATGGAAGAGATACAGAGCTCTTTTTAGCAAGGCTGAATCATCCTGTGTAGGTAACTTTGTGGAGAGGAAATAAATAGCTCACTAATTGTGGGGCAGAAAGCACAATAAGGGCTAGAAATGGGAAGTAAGTGCACTAAGAGACATTTCCCTCCCGTAATGATTCACTGCTAGCAGAAAGACCACAAAACATTGCTGCAAATCCCTCACCTTGTTACACTACTGCCTTTGCCCTGTCTCTCTCTAAAGATCACAGCTGCCTTCATCAGGTACTATGAAAGCTGGTAGAGCTACCAGAGCAGCCACCACAAGCAGGAGCAAGAAGGGATCTATGTCCTGCTGGACATAAGACAAGCAGCCTGGTTTGTGTCTATCACAGCCGTGTGCACCTTGCATTAAACCAGGTGCTGAATGGCACCTCTGCATGGTGACCAGTCCCACCCAGCACTGCTGCTCTTACTGGAATGGAAATGCCTCAAAGCGTTTTGCCCCTTTTTTAGGTCACGCTTTGAAGTCCCTTTGCGAGGAAGCAGGATGTGGTGAGCAGCAAAGCCGACAGGCATGGTCTATCTTGCCTTTTAATCCTCACTTGGGTTTAAGCTTTGCTTAGCATGATTGATGGGGCTCGGCTGCCAGGTTACAGACACGCATTCAGCATTAGTGTCTTTGAGGAACTCCGCAGCGGCATAGTGAGTGTCATCGGCAATCACAGCAGACCCTCAATAATCCCAATGTAACTAAATCAGAGCAAGGCTCAATTTCAGAGGCAGGGAAAATGAACACGTCCTCAATGAAACGGAATTTTGCCTTAGAGTACATACACAAGAAGAAGTTTGTCAAGCAGTAAATTAGGAACATAATAGGAATAATATTAGGAAGTAGGGCGACATAAGTTACAGCCTTGCACAAGGACAGTTATAGCTTTAACAATAGGATGCAATTCATTTTTATGTGCAGAAGTGGGAGCTCTGGTTAACTGTAGTAGCGTGCAGTGTGTTTAATAGACCCCACGGGTGTACAATCGTGCACAAAACCTGTGTGCTTACAGGAACATCACTAGCCAGCAACAGACTTGAAAGCAACATGATTTCTCCATGAAAAGCACACCTACACAGCATTTTTGTTTATCCTCTTGGCAAGGAAAGTAGTCTTTGCAACTCAGTCAAAGGAAGTGGTCCTCAGCCACAAAGGACAGAATGATCAAAAAGGGAATTTGAATGAAAACAGTAATCCTTTTGCAGGTCTTTTCTGTTTGGACTCACCTCAGCTGCTTGAGGACAAAGGCAAATTGATCCTAGCAGATCAGCTGAGAAGAAATCAAGATGCTTGACAAGCTCCTAGAGCATCCCTAGACCAGAGAATCTAAGAGGGGTGTGTAAAGGGATTGCAGTAAGCTGGGCTATCACAGGGCATGCAGCTGCTTTCAAAGCCACAACCTGGAATCAGAAACTCCTTAAGAAGAGCAATGCACAGATCCAGAACGCAGAGACGTGCTCAAGGAGCAGCAGTGGTCCTGCGCAGCCAGGAGCAAGGCTCTGTGTTCCTGGCTCTGGCTTCCATCCCAGGGCTGCTTTTGCTCTCCCTGGGTGAGGACAGAGCACTTCTCGAGTCAGACTGGTTTGAGAAATACCTGTTTCACACTGCACAGTGAGCCACATCTACCCCAAGGAAGCTATTTCCACAGGTCACCCAGCTCGCCAGGAGTTGGGAGGAGGATGAGAGCAGGAGGTGGCTGCACGCTGCAGATGACCACACGGTGGGGATACATGTGCAGACCAGAAAGCCCTGCCTGCAGCAAAGGCCTAAACCCACTTTGCTTAGGATGCAAAGGCAACAGCGTTGTCAGGATTTAGCAGTGCTCTCCCTGCTCACTCTGTGCTGGATTGGGGGTCCCCGCTGCCGTCTTGCTCTGTATGGGACAGCTTGCTCCAGAAAGCCTGCCTGTGCTCACCAGCTGAGGGCAGGAGCGTGAATACTATGTCCCGGTACGCATGAGGACACCCCTGCAGGGGTGGTGTGTGGTACCCTGCCAGGCAGGGAGAGGGGTCTTCCCCTTACCTGCCACGGGATGCCGCTTCCTGCACCTCCTCCTTAGGGCTGCCTGTTGTGCTCTGTGAGGCTGGCTGGGTGCTGGAGCTCGGAGAAAACCCCTTCCTGCCCGCCTGAGACCTCTCCAAATCGAGGGCCATGTGGATCAGCTGCCAGATGCCCTTCTGCAGGTACTCCCAGGCTTGCGCTGACTGCTGAGGGGATCCCAGCCAGGGAGGCACTGGGGCAGGGGTAGGTGGGACTGGCAGGGGCACTGGGGGCACAGGCAGCTCGCTGCCTTGCTCGGTTCTCGGCAGCTTTGTTGTGCTCAGGGCAAGGTTCGTCGGAGCTGGTTTCTGGTTTGAGAGCGCATAGGAGTGCTTCAGGAGAGTGTCCACGCTGGTGCGAAGCAGGTTGCCAGCAGGCAAGGAAGCCGGCCCTGGAGCTGGGGAGAGAGTGGGATGGGGGTGCTGAGTCAACCAGAAAGCTGATGTGATGGGGGGAAACAGCTATGGGATATCAGCAGGGGAGCAGGGATGCGCAGCACTGATGGGTGCAGCCGTACCTTCTTCTGCAGGAGAGCTTTTGTCCCTTGTCCAGGAGCCCACTGTGGGGTTTTGCTCTGTCGAGAGAAGGCTTTTTGGAAACAAATTCAGGCATGGGATTCGCTGAGCAGAGGAGAGAGGGAGAAGCATGAGTCCCACTGTGCTATGTTCCCTTCCTCCTCCCCCCTTCCATCTCCCAGGGTATACTGCCCCCCACCCTGCCTGGAATACTGCACCAGACCTTGATGTAGAACTGGCGCGTGGAGCAGCGGTACTGCGCGAAGTGGCAGAAGGTCTGAAACCACGGTGATTCCCGGACATCAGAGCAGACTGGCCCTGGAGAGAGGGGAGAGACAGACGTGGGATGGGGGCAGGATGCAGGCTGATTTGTCCCATTGGGCTGGGTGCAGCAAGAGGTGGGGACCCCTGGAGAGCTGTTTTCAGAGCAGCACCATGTGCTTGAAGCTGTGCCTCCAAGTGGAGACCACAGCCCTGTGCTACTGCAGCTCCCAATCCCAGGTGACACATGTACTTTCCCTCCAAACTACCCAGCTTTTCAGCTCGCTCTTCTGCCTTTTTTCACATGGTTATCTTCCCTTTTACAGAGACTCAAACCTGCTGTGCCCAGTTCCCGATAAGGACTCTATTATCAGGCCTTGAAGGATTTAAAAGAAGAGAAAAGGCAAGCAGAGATGTGATGGGTTGAAAAGGTGACTGGACCGGGCCTAACAACACGGGAGGAGACAACCTCTTCAGGGCAAAATAGTTTGACATTGATTCCATCTGTGCAGGGGATGGAGCAAAGTCCGCAGGGCCAAGATGCCGCTGGCGATGTCTGTGCCTGTACACACATGCACCATGGTCTTGACCAGCACTGCTGATACTCCTGGCTCAAAAGCTGCAGCTCCTCCTGCAGTGATTGGAGAATAGCTGGGGTCATGCAGGACAGCTGAAAACCCTGGGAGGTTTGGGAGGGGGTCATCTTGTGCTCTCCTTGCTCACCGCCAGCCCATTCCGTTCACCAGATGGGTTAAGTGCTGGCTGAGGCAGAGCAGGTTAGTATTGAATTGCACTGCTCTCCTCTTAGTTGCTTGTACACCATCTTTTACACCGTATGCACTTCTCTTGGACCAAGCATACGGATTTCAGGTATCCACCAGGATTCCAGCTCAGGAAAGTGCCCAGACTGTAGGGGACATGCCAGATCCCCACTGTGTCCTTTGGTGATGCTGTGTGGAATCTCTCCAGGATGTGGGGGGCATGGACTCAGCCAGTGCAATGCGCTTCCGTGTGGACTGGGAGCTGCAGTTACACTCCATCACACAGCCAATACTTGCCAAGGAACACTGCTGCCGTGGGGCAGGGCAGGAAGCCCAACCATTTGCTAACCCCAGTCTTATCCTCGCTCTCCCAGCATCTCCAGCAGCGCCCAGCAGGCCAGGCTTTGAGTATTACAGCTTGCTATGTCCTGCCACAAACCATCCCTGTGCTGATACAGAAACTTTCCATTTTGGTGTGGGGGAAGAAGAAAAGCACATTTCCATTCCAGCGTCTGGGAAGAGAGGAAAAACTTGACACAGATGAAATTCCCCGTGGGCTTTCTTTGCTGGTCTCTTTATTTCCACGATGGCTCAGCTCTCTCACAGTCTGTTGAACACTGATGCCATGGCCTGACGAGCAGCTTGCCTCCTTTAGCACTGATCCCTCTTTTCTCTCAGCTTATCTCCCCTATGGAAATAGTTGCCTGGCTTTCAATCCTCTGGTTTTCCTGCCGAGAGCATCCTTTCCCAGCAGTACCTGCTTGGTTTAATCAATATTATCTTCTGCCTTCTTCCTCTGCTCCTCCTGCCCATGTGTTTGCTGGTTTGCTTCTGCTGGGTGTCAGGAGGCCTCTGGGCTTTGTGGCCAGCTCACAGGAGCTCCCAGTGTGGGGGAAAGGAAGGTAACTGGGGCAATTAATTAATTAACAATCACTAAAGAGCTGGAACCAGCCAAGATGTTTGCATGCACTCATCCCGAAAACATCTTCCTGAGTCATCTTCCACAACAAAGAGCGTCTGAAGGCTTCAGGGAGGCTTCCCTTGTTTGAAACACAGGTAACTGCTTTCCTCAGCACCACACCTGAACAAGCTCATGAATAGTTGGATATAGACGGCACTGCTGTTTTAGCTATGAGGATGCTAGAGACAAAACACACGAGGGCACGTGCTCTGCTGTGCCTGCTCATCCTCTCAGCCCAGCCACAACATGCACCAGAATAGCCCCAAAGGTGGAAAAAAAGGGACTACAGAGGGGAATAAAGCCTGCCAGATGGGGGTGTGGGGCTGAGGGATGAAGGGAAAGAAGGCAAAGAGGGCGTCCTGCAAAACTGTCGCATCTCCTGGAATTCCCAGGTGTTCCTGCTCTTGGCAACTGGGTCTCCAAAGGCAGCAGCAGTGGGAATGTGTCTGATTATGCCAACAAGCAGTGCCAAGGCAAAGGGCATCGCCAGGCGAGGAGCCATGGACAGAGGGTGCACTGGAACCCTGGGTGCACCTAGTGCCACGGCACTGTAAACTGCAGGTGCCCACAAGGGAGCGAGGAGCCCAGGACTCATCCCTGGGTCTGGTGATGCAGAGTGGGACCCATTCCCCTGACACAGCTGCAGAAACAAGAAAGAAATCGTTGCCCTCAAGCTGCAGCCCAAATAAGCACAGTTGGCTGATCATTCAGTCCATTGACGTTCATAGCTAAATATAAAGACATATTTTTTTATGAGAAAATTGTTCCTATTTTTTTTTTTTCCTCTGAAGAAAAATACAACAGAAGTAGTCCCAAGTTTTTCAGCTGCACAGATATAATTATGCCACTTAAATTCTCCGATGCAGGGGTGCAGGGAAAGCATCTCCGCAGAGATTTAAAGGGTGCTGTTGCTATGGCGCTTTCTGAACCGGGATGTTTCTTGGCTCCTGAAATGTTCAACACTTAAAAAAGCAGCTTATCAGCTCAAGCTTTCTTAAAGGCCCATCAGAGTGTGTACACCAAGCTTCCGTGTTAAACCCCACATCAAGCTGGAAGCAGGTGGTCAGGGTGCAACGTGAACTGTTGGGAGGAGAGGATGAGCTTCAGCAAGCTTCAGAAAACCGTGGCCAGTTTTTTGCCCCATCAATGAAGACGTGGAGAAGACAAAGAGCTCAATGAAGGGGCAACAGATTGGCTGTGGCTTTCAGCCCATGACCCCTGAAGAGGGTCCAGGGCAGCTGGGTGAAGAGGACATGGGGAGGTGAATGAACAGCAGCCCACAAGGACCTGAAGGAAAGCTCCAAGATGACAAAATCAATCACTTCTTGGTGGTGCCAGCCAACACAAGAGGCAACAAACTGCAAATTCCTGTTTGGGAGGTTAGGAATGCCCGTTAGAAAAAGCCTTTCTTTTATTCCAGGAGAGCGGTGCAGCACTGGAAGGGGTGCCCAGAGAGGCCACAAAACCAAACTCCCTTGCACAAAGCCAGGATGCTCTAATGCTGCGAGTGTCCTGCTGCACACTGGACTTTGGGCAGGAGACCCCAAACCAACCCATTGCAACCCATCCCCATCCCCTCAATCCTGGGGTGTTCTGCGGGGTATAGAAACAGGAGGTGCAATGTCCCTACCGTTGGGGACACGGCCATGGTTCTCCTCCTGGTCCAGCTGCAGGATGAGGGGGCTGAGGCAGCCGTGTGCCTGGCGCAGCTGGCAGGACACCTCCGCCTTCCAGGGGGGCTGCAGGTGGGCGAAGAAGAACCGGTACTCTCTGTCTGACAGCGGGGTGCCCGGAACAGGACGCACCGGAGGGGCCACGCAGGACACGAACAAGGCCAGCAGACCTGGGGGAGATGCAAGGCTGTGCTTAACCCTTCTGCATGGGGACAAGCAGCCTGCGCCTGTCTGCTGGTGGTGAGGGGGGCATGGGGTATCAGCTCCATCACCCCTGCTTGCAGGGCTCTGGGGGAACCAGGACCCCTGGGAAAAATGAGAAAAGAATGAAGGGAAAAAACCCCACAAACAACAAAAAAACCAGAAACACACACAAAAAAAGAGAGAAAATGAGAAAAAAAGCAAAGAAAAATAAAAAATAAAGGAAAAAGAAAAACAAGAAAAAGGGAAAATGTTTTAAAAGAAAAGATAAAGAAAGAGAAAAAGAGAAAGAGGAACAGGAAGAGGAAGAGGAAGAGGAAAGAAGGGACGGGAAGAGGAGAAGAGAAGAGGAGAAGAGGAGGAGGAGAGGAGGAGAGGAGAGGAGAGGAGAGGAGAGGAGAGGAGAGGAGAGGAGAGGAGAGGAGAGGAGAGAAGAGAAGAGAAGAGAAGAGAAGAGAAGAGAAGAGAAGAGAAGAGAAGAGAAGAGAAGAGAAGAGAAGAGAAGAGAAGAGAAGAGAAGAGAAGAAAAATAAAAAAATTACAAGAAAAAAATAAAGGAAAAAGGAGAGAAAAAGAGAAGAAACTGCAAAAGGGAAAAAAATAAAGAAAAAAGGAAATTAAGAACAAAGGAAAAATTTTAATAGAAAAATAAGATAAAAACTAAAATGTTAGAAGTTGGGAGTTTGGGGAGTTTGATTTGGGTAGAGGAGAGAGATTTTTACTTTTGGTTTTGTTTAGTTTGAGGGGTTATTTTGGTTCCTCCCCTACAAAAGCCTTACTTGCCCGGTGCCTCTGGAGGCACCCACAGTGACGCAGGCTCCGCTCCCACCTCTGTGAGCTGCCCACTCCACCACACCAGGGGCCTGAGCCCCTCCATGGGGACATCCCTCCCTCTTCTCCCTTCCCTCCTTTGCCTTCAGCTGGGTCCTTTCCCACTGCCTTCAGCACCGCCCATAGGGATGCTCTGCCCCAGCCCCATGTCCCTCCAGCCCCCCTCCCGGGTGAGGCAGAGCCTGTGGTCCCAGCGGGGCAGGAATGAGGGGTGGCATCAGCAGGGGTTTCCAGTGCTGGCTCTGTGGTGGCCCAAGGATGGTGGCAGGGAGCAGGTAGGGACACTCACCCACGAAGCACAGCATCCCCAGCATGTCTGCCCCAGGCCTCAGCACTGTGTTGTCCCTGGTGACCCGGGGCAACGGCTTCACCAGGAGATGGCGTCAGAATGGGAAGGGAACGGCATCACGGTAGGGCTAGGGAAGGGCGTGTGGAGGGGAACTGAAGCAGGGGCTGGGCGGGGGTGGGCATCCCATGAGGAATGCAAGCCTTTGTCCCACTACGGGGACAAGACAAGCAAGAGGAATGGGAGCCAAGCAGGGAGCTTGCCCCTCTGCTCGCTGACACAGTGGGGGCTGGCAGCAACCTGCAACAGCATCTGAGGCATGGGCAGGCTACTCCTGTGCTGAGGGTGCCCCGAAAGTGGTACCTTTGGGGTACCTTACATCCCAAAGCATTTTGTGCTCTTCCGCAGGGGAAAGGCAACAAAACCTCTTTGAACTGCAGGGGATTGAGACAACCCCCCCATGCCTCCCCAGGGATGCATCCCAGCACCGGCTTGCTTTGGGATGCAGTGGGAAGCTGGCTTGATCTTTTCTGGGCAGCTGTGCCACTTTCTGAACCCTCAGCACATGGAGCACTTGCTGGTGTCCCTTTGCCTCCAGTACGGGTGTCCTGAGCACCGCTCTCTGCATAGGAAAGCTTTCTCAGGCAAAAGTGGGAATGGTGCTGGCAAAAGAGGCTTTGGGGCCACCAGTGCGGAGGTGCCCAGAACCCCCAAGGGCTGATTTTGAGGGACACCCACATCCATGTGCCCACGCTGGTTCTTACTGCAGAGACCAATGCGTGGGGCACACACACAGCTGTCAATTGCCATCAGCACAGCACTTCCCATGGCTGGGCACTTGGTGATGTGAGAGGGAAAGGCACGACCATCACCACCACAGCTCTCAGGGAGGCTGTAAGGAAAACGCCTGTCACAGCAGCTATGAGAAGTGCAGCTGTCAGCAGAATGCAGGGCAGGGCAGCACAGTGGCTTTGTGCAGCCGCTGCATCACCCCACAGTCTCTGCTTGGCTGGGAATTGACACCCTTACACAACCGAAGGGGAGCTGCAAGCAGAGCAGAGGGAGTTTCCACCGTGTGCTGAAGGAGTCACTTCTATCATAAAGCCCAGGAGATTCGAGCTGTATGCAGTGTATACTGCAATACATGCACTGGCAGCAGAGTGCTGCAGATGCCCTGGCTGTGACTGCAAGGCTGGCCCATCACCTGCCAGTCCCCTGAGCAGCCATGCAGGCTATCACAGTGAAAGCTCAAATCACTTCAGTCCATTAGAAAGGTGTCTGGCAGCAGCATGTGTGTTTGCTGGTCCTTGCAAGAGACAAGCTGTGGGTTGCTGTAAGATGCCTTGTTGGAAGGGATCGTGTCTGAGGAGCTTGAAGCCTGACCATTTATCAACAGCACTGAGCTTTAGGGTTTCTTTGCAGCTTCTTAGAAAGACAGAGAGCAGGAGAGATGTCCCAGCCACCTCCTGCCGCTCACATTAAACCAGGCAATGCTGCTGGCACTTGCAAATCATAGCCAGTTCCTAGTGTTCCACTGCTTGGCTTGAGACATATTGCTTACTAGCTGATGTTAGACAACTCCAGGTCCTTGGGCTGCCCAGCTCTGTTAATCCCCTCTGCTCCCCCATGACAACAGAGCCCTGGCTGAGTTCTTGAGGTTGCTCCGTGCTGACCGCAGTGGCTGATGGAAATACATGATGTAGGCAAGCACACTAATGTGCCATGTCACACAGTGTTATTGATGTCTGGCAGGTGCTGGCTACACAGCCTGTGTGTACATGTGCCAGCAAGAGATTTATGGCTTATGAAAACAGGAAACAAGAGTGAATGGACCAGAGTCCCTGGCCATACACTGAGAACTCAAACATGAGGCAGAAGATGAAGGAGCTGTCAGAGCTTGATGCTTGCTTGGTGCTCTAAGTAGCAATGCCTGGGGGAGCTACTGTGTATTTGGAAAGGAAGTGGTTAGTGATGTGAGGACAGGCTGGCCACTTAGTACTTCTCATGCACTGTGGCATGCCCTGGGTTTGGTTCAGGTTGTCTGACTCCTTCAAGGAGCTATTATGGTCAATGCACCGCATGCGTTGAGAACCTGGTCTGCAGCGTGCACCCAGCAGGCTTGGGAGGCTGCGAGTGCAGGAGGCACTGCTGTGCTGTGCTCTTCAGCCTCGTTTGTTGCTGGCTATGGGGCAGTTGTGTTTTAAGCCACCACAAAGAAAGAAGTCGTTTCTGTGGGAAGAGCAGTCCTTTGGACAGGACACATCAGTGTTGCAAGCGGTGGGGGAGCCTGGTCCTTTCTGGTGCCTCGAGCAATGAGAGGGGTCAGTAACGCGCAGCACAGTGGGGATGTTAATCCAGTATTTGCTGATTCCCAAGGGTTAACTTGCCACCTTTAAGCCTCCCTCCCTGCTGATGCACTAGAAGCTGTGTCATTTTTGCACTGAAGCAGATTTGCAGTCTTGTTCTCAGAGCCACCGTGAAATGGAGTTTCCTGCATATGCTGTTCCTGACCCAATGTACACAGCTGTAACCCCCCGGCCCATGGTGTACCCGATGCCAGCAGCAGGAATGTGTAACAGCAGGGTAACAACTCGCTGGAGTTGTGTTTTCCATGTTGCTATATGATTGCTGTGCTGCTTCTGAGCTTTGGAAGAACCTGTCTGCTTTGTGAGGGACCGCCCTTTGGCAGACAAGCTCCTCTTGCAAGTGAGCCTTGTTCTCTTACTGCGGCTGTTTCACAGCATTTCCCACTCCTTGCTTTCCACCACAAACTCCACCACCAGCAGCAATGGCTGAAAACCAGGCCCCTGTGCCCTGGCTTCATCTGTGTTCACAGCACAGGCCCCACCAGCAGCAATAAAGTCACAAGAAAAACCAGCTTCAGAGCCAATGTTCAGCCATCTGCCCCTAAATCAAGTATCCTGGTGGGGGAACATCAATGAGAGGCAGAAGATGGCAGTGATGCTAGGCTGAGATGTGGGACAATGAAGCCGCTGGCTAAGCAGCAGTCCCCCCCCCCAGCACCTACAAGAGATGGATTGAGATGTCCTTCAGTGCTGCATCTGGAGGATGCAGAGCTGCTGCTCAGGAGCATGGCAGGGCTCTAGACCAGCTGGTACCTGGTGCTTAGGGCAGAGTGGACAGCCCAGCCAAGAGGCCATCAGAGCCATTGCACAGCAGCTGAGTAAAGGTCCTCTTCCAGTTCAGCACTAGGTCTTCCATGAAGAAGAAGCTACTTCAAGAGCCCGATTGAGAACACCTTCATCCTGGTCACTATGGGCCTGTGTGAAGGGATGTGGGTACCAGCCCACTCTTTGATGCTGAGTTCTCCATCTCCACAGACAAAAGCATCAAAGATTGTTCTGATTTAAACCAAAACGTTATGCATTGCTGACTTTAATCACAGGTTAAATAGCCCTCATTCCACATTTGTACTGTATTTCTGTAGGTTTACTGTCACTGGCTGAGAGCTATGTGATATACTGATAAATATAGACTTTACATTAAAATTGGCACTCATTTTAATTTGCTGGATATGTTAATCTATCCACATTTATTCAAGCACTGTACAGTTATAACATGCATTAATTCAGACAATTTACATTTTATTTTGTTAGGAAATAGTGAATGAAGCAATGTTTTGCTTGTCATTTAGAAAATGGAGTATTTAATTGATTGCAAAACCAGCATTTAAAAAGGGTTTCTTGAATTCGTGACACAACCTCTAATGGAGTGGATTCATGAAAGTGTGCTCAAATGAACTGCTCTGGTCTTTTTAAGGGCTCTTGTTTAGTGCAAGAACAACCTGATCTAAGCACAAGGTTATTCCTAAAAGCAGGGTCTTGGTCTACAGAGCTCCAGAGAGGTCTCTTCCCACCTAAATCTTTCCATGGTTAACTGAATGGGTTCTTCCAATGACTGGGTTCTTCAGGCTTTTGGAGTGAGGAGATGTCATGGGGTCAAACTTCCTTTTCTTGCTTGCTGTTGATGTGTCAAAAATAACCCCAGCCTTTTCTCCCCCCAGCCTGGTGCTGAATGAGTTATTCCTTCAATGGCAGCAACCCAAAGCACTGAAATCCCATTGTATATCTGCAAAAACACATCGAAGTGGGCAACTTGCTGAATACTTTCTCACACCAGGCTTTAGGAGCTGAGTGGTTTGCCATGGGTTTGCCTGTCCTCAAGATTAGGGCAAAACCGTAATTTTTAAACTAACTGTCCCATTTCTTCCATGTGCTCAGAAGAGGAACCATAAATGAGCAGAAAGGAAGATGTTTGGCTCTTTTTATAAATTAAATGCATTTTATTTGAGAAAAGCATCTATATTTCTTCTAATACAGTAACAGTGAGCTCCACTGAAGAAATGTTCACTTGTCTTTGGAAAGCAAGATGGGACATGTTGTTTCCTTCTATGAGTCCTTAACTGTTGTCATGCTGCAGCCTGCCTTGCCTTTTGCTGCTGCCTTAGAGCAGTCAGGGATTGCATGCACCCCAGGTATTGCCACTCAGCTTGCCATCATCTCCCCAGTTTGTCCTCCTCCTTCACACGGCAGAGAAAAAGCAGCACTGTGGTTGGTTATACAAAGGAGAATGGTTCAGGAGCTTGGATAATCACACTAGGTTGAGTGATCTACTGATGAGCACTTGGTTCATGGCCATTGTGCCTTGCCCTGCTCCAGGAGATAGGAAACGTTAATGTTCCTGGTGCCAGTTTGCCAAAGACTGGTCACTGTGGCTGTCCCATGCTCTGGGCTCAGGCACTTCAGTGTCCTGCTGTGCTTTAGCTGAAAATACACTTAGTTAGGAGGATAATTACACATGCTCCATACCCCTCCTTCCTGGGACTTGGAGGAACTGCCACCCATTTCTTAGCAGATGTGTGAGGGGAGCAATCCTGCTGTCACCACTTCTCAACCATGTATATCTGCCTATCTTCAATGAGAAACATCGTGGGAGGACCTGGCCCTATTTTCAGCCAGTATAAGCAAGTTATGTCTTAGGAATGTTATTCTTCTCTGCTGGATCTGGAGATTTTTGGACTGATTTGGCCAAT